ATGGCTTCGAGGCACAACTGCACCTTTTGGGGGATTTTTTCACTCATGGTCTTGCAACTCCTCTATAGGATGGTCTCTCCAAAGTAGTAGTTGTTGGGTGCAAAATACTCTTTTCTGCACCAGTAACCTACCGCCCAAATTCCATCCTCGCTGAATGCGGGCATTCAGGACAATGGGGTTTCTGCATGATAAGTGTTATGCTTTTCAGTTTTTTTCTTTCTTTCTTTTGGTTGCATGCTTTTGTGTGTGTATGTGTGTGTGTTTGGGGGGGGCTTTTCTGTGGGGTGGATTTGGTTGTGAGCACCCACAAATTTTCGTGGGCGCCCACGAGTTCTAGCGAGCAGCCGAGGACTCGTGAAATCTCACGAAAAATCGTGAGATCTCGCGAGCCTGCCAAAACTCATGAGATTTCGTGAGATTTGGGTGAACTCGGCAAATTCGCCCCAGGCGAGTATTGACGAGCACTGGTCACGATTCGCGAGGGTGCCTAGGCCACGAGCTCGACACTGTTGCGATCGATTGGCCAGCCATGATCGCGTCCAGCCACAGGTCGCCACACCGAACCTCTCGGCTCGACATGCGAGTCAAAGGACGTGTGGATCGAGCTCGGGATTTCGCTGGACCAGCCTGCATGTCATGACGCGAGAATGTGGGCCCAGGTAAATCGTGTGGCCACGACTTCTGTCCACACTCGCCGAGGGAAAATTCGTCAGCATTACAATTCGCGAACTACGCGAGTAATGCAATCGTGCGAATTAGTCGAAAGTAAGTTTGCAGTTACAGCGTTAACACTGGCGACTTTCTCAGGAGAAATTCGTAAAGCTGTCATGAGTTTTCACAGGATTTGCTGGGTTATGGGCCAACCATGAATACCCATAAACATTACTAGGCTTGAGCAAAATACCCGCGTGGGTCAGGTACCCGGACCCAAATCCGCTTTTTAGGCGGGTCGGGTATTCGAATTCCGGAATATTACCCAGCGGGTCGGGTCCGGGTTACTTGGGCGGGTATCCGACACCCGTTACCCGAAACGTTACCCGACGTGTCGGGTGACGGGCATCTGACCCGGTCGGGTAATTATTACCTGAGGTCGGGTATCACACCTAGACATGGGTGTAAGTGGCACCGTGTTTTAGGTTTTGCGGCAAAACGGTATGGGAGGTGAGGGGGGACAAGTGGACCCTTTGTGAGGAGAAGTTGGAGTTTGTAGATGTGGAGGAATTAAGTGCGGTGAAAGGGAGGGAGTTGGGTGGGAGTTGGAGAAAAAGTTGGAGTTCGTAGATGGGAAGGAGTTGAGTACGGTGAAAGAGTGGGAGCTGAATTTGAGTTGGAGAAAATGTTGGAGTTTGTAGACGGGGAGGAGTGAGTTGCAGTGAAAGGGAGGGAGTTGGTTGGAACTTGGAGTAGGGTTGTAGGTGCTAGATGGGGAGGATTTTAGTCCGGTGAAAGGACGGGCGTCGGTTGGTACTTGGAAGCCCCCTTGGAAACGCGACTCTCAAATGAGAGTCGCGTTTTCAGAAACCGTAGCTAGCGTAGCCCATTTTTAGGAGGCCCACTAGTAGGAGGCGGGTAGTAATACCCACTTTTCAGGGTAACCGGGTCGGGTATACCCGGACCCGCCAGGCGGGTATTGTATTACCCGCCCCCTAAGGCTGGGTCCGGGTAAGGGTCCTGGGCATATTACCCGACCCGGACCCGACCCGAAAATACCCGACCCGAGGTCGGGTAGTGCAAAACCGGGTCGGGTCGGGTAATTACCCAGTTTTGATCAACACATCACTATGGCAAGTGTGTTTCCAGCTTATTCCGGGTGGGAGTATTGTTCCAGCTATTTTTCACCTATGGCAAAATGGTGGGACTAGGGATGAGCAAAACTGGGCAGATACCCGACCCGACCCGGTTTTGCCATACCCGACCTCGGGTCGGGTATTTCGGGTCGGGTCCACCCGGGTCGGGTAATACCCCCAGGACCATTACCCGGATCCGGCCCTTAATGGCGGGTAATATAATACCCGCCAGGCGGATCGGGGTATACCCAACCCGGTTTAGGCTAAAAGCGGGTATTGCTACCTGCTCATGAAAAAATTACTGAACAACCTCTGATTTACCCTCCGTTGTTCTTGGTGTGTTGTGTTTGTCATGGTGGCCCCCGGGGGGTAAGCGTCGACAGCGTGATCTTAAAAACAACAACCTAAACCCGGTTGCACTGTGTTTTTGCCAGCATGAGAGGGGCGGTACCTGAAGTCGGGTATTCAATACCCGGCTGGTCGGGTACCCATTACCCGACATATTGGGTAAGATTTCGGGTAACGGGTATCGAATACCCGCCCGGGTAACCCGGACCCGACCCGCCGGGTAATATTCGGGAATCCTGATACCCGACCCGCCCTAAAAGCGGATCCGGGTCCGGGTACCCGCCCCGCGCGGGTATTTTGCTCAACCTTAGGAGGGACTGATGCGTATGGAATCAGCTGGAGAGCGTCGCATAGACGCGTCTGTCCTTTGCTTTAGTATAAATTGCATGCTTGTTATTTTGAGAAGATATATCTTCATGAAATTATTCTTGCTTTCCTTGGATCTGTGAGTACGTCACGCCTGCGGAATCCTGTTGGGAAGGTGCTGAAGTCCAAGGCTCTGACTATCACGACTCCGCTAAGCTTGGTCTCTCCTTTCTACAAACTCGGACCCTTGGGTAGGGGCTGGCATTCGTGTTGGCACCCAAGGATCCTCTGAGGTGACCCCGAGAAGGAGTGGCTGAACTTACCAAGTTCGGAAACAGTTGGAGCTATAGTTATTTTTATCAACAGTAGTAACAAGGAATGCATATCGACTAGCAGCATGCTCATGTCTCTGGTTTTTTTTTTTTTTTTGGAATCAAACAACATGCTACAATGACGAACAACATTGTCGATATGAACTTAGGAGGCCAAAATAACTCAGAGTAGAATCGCAATATTGGACAGAAATATCGTGGTTGCGTAAAGCACTGTTGACGAAAAAGTAATAGGAGAAAAAAATCTTAATTTCGGATATGTCGTAGTTTGCGATGCCTGGTAGCCATCTCAACCGAGAAAACCCTAGAAAGAGGTTGGAGAGTAAGAGAGGGAGGGAGGGAAGGTCCCAAGAAAGCCCCCAACCAAAGAAACACATAAGCACACTCCCTCTCTATAAGAACCCCAATTTTGAACTTTGTCCCCTTCCAACCTTCCAATCAAGTTGGCCACACTCCGCAACCTAGCTTGGTTGTTCTCAACTAGGCGTTAGCACCGGGTTGGGTCGGGTAACCCGCCCCGAACCCGACTTTTTGACGGGTTACTGGGTTAGGTACTACCCGACATACTAAAGCCGGGTGGGGTTAACCATTCTTGAACTCCGACCCAACCTAACCCGAACCCGACATCAGGTATGGCAAAGTCTGGACGGTCCAGCTCGGGTCGAGTTGGGTTTATGCTCAAGCCTTTTCTCAACCAATTTCAAGCTACTACAGTAGAGTGCCGAAATTCTCAACCCTGAATGGTCCTTCCATATGGAACCATCCCACAACTTCACATTGTAGCTTCTACAATTACAGCACAAGCTTATGAAATGTAAATGTCCAGAGCTTTCATGTTCTTGCCTCGATTGAAGCGATTCTTAACCCGATGCAAAGCTCTTTTCAAGAGAATTCATCTCAAATACCCGCTCAAGCAAAATAACATCAAACACTTCTACAATTCCAATAAAACACCACATGCAAATTCTTATGCATATACAATACCACATAGGCATGAGCAAACGAGTCGACCTTTGACTCGTTTCCCTTGCACGATTTTTTTCCGAGTAGAGTTTCAAATTTTTGCTTCCCGACTCGATTCGAGTCGATTCGAGTCGAGTCAGGCATGTCACGATTCAAGTTGAGTCGGACGAGTCAGCTTGACTCGCAATGAGTCAACCCTAACTCGACCCTAGGAAAACGAGTCACGAGTCAGGGATCAACACCGGGCAACTCGACCCGTTTCGAGTTTGACTCGACTCGTTTTTGAGCCGACTCGGAGGCGACTCGAGATGATTCTGACTCGACTCGACTCGATGCTCATGCCTCATACCACACATGCAAGATAGAAGATAGGATGGGAGACAGACAGAATGTGGTGGGAGATGATGATATCACACAACACAACACAACACAACACAACACAACACAACACAACCCAACCCAACCCAACCCAACCCAACCCAACCCAACCCAACCCAACCCAACCCAACCCAACCCAACCCAACCCAACCCAACCCAACCCAACCCAACCCAACCCAACCCAACCCAACCCAACCCAACCCAACCCAACCCAACCCAACCCAACCCAACCCAACCCAACCCAACCCAACCCAACCCAACCCAACCCAACACAACACAACACAACACACAGTTTCACCATAGCCATCCAGAGAACAACACACTCTAGGGAATGGGTTTGATTGCTGGGCCGCCTCAGCGTTCTACATCCATTTGCGCTTCTTTTATTTCTGAGTATTCAGAGAAGCATTCATTCAACAACTGAAAAAAACCGCGTGATAGGAGTCTAGTTTTGAGGCGCCTCAAAACTATATTTCTGAGAAGCATTCATTCAACAAGCATTCATTCAGAGAAGCATTCATTCAACAACTCAAAACCAGCTCATTCAACAAGCATTCATTCAACAACTCAAAACCAGCTCATTCAACAAGCATTCATTCAGAGAAGCATTCATTCAACAACTCAAAACAAGCATTCATTCAGAGAAGCATTCATTCAACAAGCATTCATTCAGAGAAGCATTCATTCATTCAGAGCATATTTCTAGTATTCAGAGAAGCATTCATTCAACAACTCAAAACCAGCTCATGCACTGATGAAGGTGTTGTGAAGCATTCTGATTTGCGGTTCTTATATTTCTGAGTATTCAGAGAAGCATTCATTCAACAACTCAAAAAAATCTCTCACCCCGTAAACGTTCTGTTTTCTCTCCTTGACTTTGCTGCAGGTGGCTGGGTGGTTACCATGGCATCTGGCGCGACTGCAGGTGAGACAGCTTTTGTGTGTGTGTGTGTGTGTGTGTGAGAGTGTGTGTGTGAGTGTGTGAAGCATTTTCTTGTCAACAAGCCCACCCCCTTTCGCCTCATGCCTCGCCCCCTTCCCCGCTCCTTTCCTTCTTCCCCTTCACTCTCATTCTTGCCCTCAAATCCTCTATGGGTGTTACGTTCACCTCCTGGGAAGCCAATGTGCCATGCACGATCAGGGGCTTCCACCCTTTTTGCGACAAGCCAAACCCCCTCCGCCGGCCGCCTTGCCCCCTCACCCTTCCCTCCCCCCCTTTCCCCTTCACCAGTCATGCTAGCCCTCAAGTCCTCTCTGGGTGATACATTCATCTCCTGGGAAGCCACTGTGCCATGCACCATCAAGGGCTTTCCACCCTTCTTGCAACAAGCCCACCCTTTTCCGCCTCACACCTCGCCCCCTTCCCCCCTACTCCCCCCTTCCCCCTACTCCCCCCCTTCCCCCCTACTCCCCCCCTTCCCCCCTACTCCCCCCTTCCCCCCTACTCCCCCCCTTCCCCCCTACTCCCCCCCTTCCCCCCTACTCCCCCCCTTCCCCCGTACTCCCCCCCTTCCCCCCTACTCCCTCCCTTCCCCCCTACTCCCCCCCTTCCCCCCTACTCCCCCCCTTCCCCCCTACTCCCCCCCTTCCCCCCTACTCCCCCCCTTCCCCCCTACTCCCCCCCTTCCCCCCTACTCCCCCCCTTCCCCCCTACTCCCCCCTTCCCCCCTACTCCCCCCCCTTCCCCCCTACTCCCCCCCTTCCCCCTACTCCCCCCCTTCCCCCTACTCCCCCCTTCCCCCCTACTCCCCCCTTCCCCCCTACTCCCCCCCTTCCCCCCTACTCCCCCCTTCCCCCCTACTCCCTCCCTTCCCCCCTACTCCCCCCCTTCCCCCTTACTCCCCCCTTCCCCCCTACTCCCCCCCTTCCCCCCTACTCCCTCCCTTCCCCCCTACTCCCCCCCTTCCCCCCTACTCCCCCCCTTCCCCCCTACTCCCTCCCTTCCCCCCTACTCCCCCCTTCCCCCCTACTCCCCCCCCCCCTACTCCCCCCTTCCCCCCTACTCCCCCCCTTCCCCCCTACTCCCCCCCTTCCCCCCTACTCCCCCCTTCCCCCCTACTCCCCCCCTTCCCCCCTACTCCCCCCCTTCCCCCCTACTCCCTCCCTTCCCCCCTACTCCCCCCCTTCCCCCCTACTCCCCCCTTCCCCCCTACTCCCCCCCTTCCCCCCTACTCCCCCCTTCCCCCCTACTCCCCCCCTTCCCCCCTACTCCCCCCCTTCCCCCTACTCCCCCCCTTCCCCCCTACTCCCCCCCTTCCCCCTACTCCCCCCCTTCCCCCTACTCCCTCCCTTCCCCCCTACTCCCCCCCTTCCCCCCTACTCCCCCCTTCCCCCTACTCCCCCCTTCCCCCCTACTCCCCCCCTTCCCCCCTACTCCCCCCCTTCCCCCCTACTCCCCCCCTTCCCCCTACTCCCCCCCTTCCCCCCTACTCCCCCCCTTCCCCCCTACTCCCCCCCTTCCCTTCACCAGTCATGCTTGCCCTCAAGTCTGCTCTGGGTGTCACCGTCACCTCCAGGGCAGCCAGTGTGCCATCCACGTCAAGGGTATCACGCCTACTGTTTCCTCTTCCCCCTCGCCCCTCCATCCCTCTTCCCTCTCTCCCCCCATCAGTCATGCTAGCCCTCAAGTCTTCTCTGGGTGTTACCTTCACCACCTGGGCGGCCAGTGTGCCATGCCGCAGATATGACGGCATTATACCTAGTGTTACAACGTGGACCCAGGTGTACTGCTCCAACAATGGCAATGTGCTAGCCATGTGAGTCTGGTATGCATGTGAGTGTGGTGGGCATGTGAGAGCAGTGGGCATGTGAGAGCAGTGGGCATGTGAGTGTGGCGGGCATGTGACTGTGGTGGGAAGCATGCAAGTGTGGGGCAACATACAAGATGCTAGCACCTTGTTACCTACTTGGAACAGTCTGCTAACCACAGGCTCTTAACCCCTTCTTTAGACCAGGTTTTCCCTTTATTGCTCTCCTCATAGAGTGTTGCATAACATTCCTGTAGGAATCTAAGTCATGGTTTAGACTAGAAGAGAGAGAGAGCTTACATAGTTGGAAGGAAGGTAAGAAGTGGGGTTGGTTGGGTCCTATGCCAACATCATTGGCTTGGCTCCCATCAAGTTGAGTCGGCCAAATTATGCTGGCTAAGATTTTTGGGAGGGTCAAATTATGTTGGCTAAGATTTTTGGGGGTCCCAATAATATTGCCTAGAGTTATTGTGGATCCCAATAATTGAGGTCCCAACTCTTGGAGGCCAATAAATGCCAAGGAAGGAACCCAACCCTTTTCAGAACCCAACCCCAACTAGGTTGGTTTACCCTAGTGTACACCCCGGATCTCTTAGGTTGGCTGTAATTACCCAAGAGTATTAATCTCTGCAGGATAACAGAATAGTGTATTCTAACAATTTCGAACAAGTCTCAATATCCCACCTCCTCCCATTCTTGTGCTCAGTGCCTTGTACGACAATCCGTTGTCCAGGCCGCTGCCATCCCTCCTTTCAGCTCTCAACACCTCCCTTGTAGAACTGTAAGCACTCTCTTTTATAGAACATCCTGTGTGCTCTAGTTTGTAGAGTGTGCTTGTGGTATTTACCCCAGGTAAGGCAAACCCAGTATCCTCGGTTGGGTTCGTTCACCATAGGAGTGTAAACCAACCCAACCAAAGTTTGTTGGTCAACCAACTTTGGTTGGATCCCAAACCTATGTTGGCAAAAACGCGTTTCTGCATTTTTGCATTTCGTTTTGAACGCACGCGTTCAGGACGCAATATGCAGGAAAGCTTCAAATACGCTCGTAAAAGCGCCTGCCCGGGCAGGCGAAAAAAATTGCCAGGGCAGGGGAAAGAGGGGGAGAGAGGAGGGGAGAGAGGGAGGTGGGGAAGGAAGGGGAGGAGGGGACAACATCAAATTGACTTTCACATTTACACCACCTGCACTGCACTACAGCAGCTAAGGACACACACCCACACCCATATCTCCTGCCTACCTATCTTCTCTCTATCCTTTATGCCTCTTCCACCTGACCCTCTATATCTATCCTACTCACACCCGAGGTCGGGTATGGCAAATCCGGGTCGGGTCGGGTATCTACCCGGTTTTGCTCATCCCTAATTGTGAGTCGACTCAAAACACACTGCCAATTTCGTGCATGCCAACAATCATAACTCCTCCCAAGATGACTATGACTTGACTCAACTGTTCTCGTGTCCATTCTCCCCTTTCACGTCTCTCTTTCTCCCTCTCCCCACGCCTTCACTCACTGCAACAGCATCCTCTCCAACTTCTCCCTGGGTCTATCATTGCCATCCATTGAATACCGTCCTTGTTCTCTACCCGTGCTCTCTCATTCTCCTCATTCATCGCTTCCTCCTCTCCCCTTCCTGCACCTGCACTCACTGCACCTGCACTCACTGCAACAGCGACCTCTCCGACTTCTTCATGGGTGCATCGATGCCATCTGTCATTTTCACACTCACCAACCTCCGGACGCTGTAAGCGCTGTCACAGTCTGCGAGCGCTGTCACAGTCTGTCACAGTCCTCAAGAACGGCCAGGAAGCGCAGCAGGGCGGCGGAGACAGCAGCAGTCATGGCAGCTGACGACCCCAGCCCTGTCTTTGCCACCTCTGGCACATGCCGCCGTGTCCTCTCTGGTGCATAGCCGCTTGCGGGTTCCGGTGCTGATGTTGCCGCTGCGCCTGCGGTTGCTGAATCGCCTGCTGTTGCGGATGTGTCTGGGGCAGCTGATGCGGCAGGGTGGTGGTGTGATGGCTTTTCTCCCAGCATGCTCCACTTACATCAGTCTCGCTTTCCAAAGGATCCTAAAACCCTTGACTCAAAACTCGTCAAAGGCATGTGCAGCCTATTTGTGATCCTTCACTGGTACCAGCTGCAATGGAGGCGTCACGTTTTTGTTGCGAATTATTAAAAAAAACAGCCCACCTGCTCTGCTTGTGCTGAATTTCTTAACCCTCTAACAAAGCATATGCACTCCTGTAACCTGGGTTACTCTGTGACCAGAAATCTGAGAAACACATCACTCATTGGCTCCATCGCTCAAGCTGTGGGCAACCTCGAGAAACTCAGAACCCTGTATGTCCTGTGTTTCCCATTAGTGGCCTCTATGTCCCAGTTAACCCTCAGTTTCCCGTTTATGGTCCTGATTTTTCTTTTTTTTTGCCACTACCATCATTCATTTTATGGTCTCTTTTTCCTGATTGTGGCTCCGATTTCCGTGTTGAGGGCACAATCTCCTTTATATGGCCTTCGTTTCCTTTTTGAGCCAATGATCTCACATTGGCAAACCCACACCTGTGACGTCAAAGGAAGCGTAACCTTTTTGCTTAGAGACACCACCAACTTACAGCTCTTCCTCCATGTGTGTGGAGACCCCACTTGACTTACTTATGTCCATTGAAATCCCACTTTTGAGTTGACTCAAAGGTCACCTCTTTTGATTCAACTCAGAAGTCACCTCTCTTGAATCGACTCAAAAGTCAGAGGCACCACCTTGCAGCTCTTCCTCCACATGTGTGGAGACCCCACGTGACTTACGCCTATAGAGATCCCACTTGCTATCACTACATTGGCAATGGCTCACCCACGAGGCTACACTTGCTTTTTATGAAAATATTTTGAGAAACAGCAAGGTTGAATCATATTGAGAGAGGAAGGGTTACTGTTACATGGGAGAGGAGAAAGAGTCCAAGGGCGGCTTAGACTCTTTGGTTGAACAAAAAATTTGGGCATTGTCCAACTTATTGGTTGGAAGAATAAATTGAGCCCCAAAATTATTGGCTTAACCAATTTTGTTGGGTTGGCCGCTTATTGAAGGACCAATTATGGCTGGGATATCCAACCAGAATGTTCCTCCAACAATTGTGCTCAAGGGTTTGGGTACAAAACCAGAAAGTTGATTCTCTATGCTGAGCATGCGAACCATCTATACGATTTTTTATTATGTTGAAAAATGGAAAACAGGTGGATAAAGTGCTGCCTTTTCTTCCTGGTCTCAATGCTCTGTCTTGCTCTTTAGATGTGGTCAAAGGGCCAAGCTGTGGCTCAGCGCATATAAAAGCCTGAGCCGAGCGTGGCTCATGACGAGCTGAGCCGAGCTGGCTCGACAAGCCAGAGCCTAGGCTTGGCTCGTCACGGTCACGCTGTTTCAAGGCGAGTCGGGGCCGGCGTTGGCGCTGACGGGCTCGTGTATGAGCTGGGAACTAGGCTTGGCTCCTTAAAGAGCCCTCACGGCTCGTGCGACGACCATGACGAGTTAGGTCACGGTGTTCGTAAGAAATCAACATTTGAAAGGCACTCGGGTCGCGCTGGTCAAGCTCCCGCTGTGCTGTGGCTTCCCTAAACCCTGAAGCCCCTGCGCCCACCCCTCGTACTATTAAACCTCGTCAATTTGCGATCACTGGCTCGGTTCTGCAATGGGACAGAACTGGTATTTCTTGTACATTCGCTCGGATTGACCACAGGGCCAAACACCCACCCCAGAATGGTGACGCTCAGATGTATGCGTTACGGGTTCTTCCAAACTGCTACCCATGTGCCTTTCCTGCTCACGAGCCACATGGGGGCTTGTGAGCTGGCCGGCTCATGCCAAGCCTTGTTCCGGCTCGTGCCGAGCCATGTGCCGGCTCGCCCCTAAGGTCGAGGTGCGAGCCGACTCCATGTGTACTGCTCTTTTACACCCGTGGCTACAGAGGCCTTTCTTCGACAGCAGGAGAATCATTCCTGCTGGCTTCACTTTGTTTGCAGTATCGTTTCTTTTCTGCAGCATTCGCACCATAGTTTGTCCTGTGTTGTCCTTTGCTTGTTGTGGTACATACTGCTCATCCTATTTTTGAGGCGCCTCAAAAGGCAGCATTCGCACCATAGTTTGCCCTGTGTTGTCCTTTGCTTGTTGTGATACATACTGCTGATCGTTGATATGCTGCTGTGTCCTGTGTTCATCATACAGAGCTATCTGGCTGTTTGGCTGGTTGCGCTACATTGGTAATTTTGTTCGACTTGTTTGTTAGTTGATTGGATGATGTGATCATTAGTTGTTTGTTTGGTATGTGCAGGAACTTGGGCAGCAACGCCATAGATGGAGCCATCCCTGCTGCAGTTAACAACCTCAAAGTCCTAGAGAATCTGTGAGCGACCTGTGCAGGCATTTCTGAGAATTCGAAAAAATGAACTCAAAGTTCTGGACAAAATATGATGTGAGCGAGCTGTGCAGCCCTAGCAAGGAAATCAGATAGATTCATGAGCAGCGAAAAAAGAAAAACATTGTGCTTGCCTAGTGCATACAAGTACGACCCCTCACCCAATCCTGTTTCCAAGAGCACAGTTGGTCTTTCCCCGATTTTTTTTTTGTAAGGCACCCTCATCCTCCACTTGATCTCCGTTTTCACCACTTCATCTCCTCCGTCACCACTTGTGGAATCGTGTGCGCACATGTGTGTGTTCGTGTGTGTGTCTCTCTCTGGGGTGATTCTGTGTTTGTGTGTGGGGGGTGGGGGGGGAGGGGGGGCGAGGGTCACACACACACTTGCTGCATGGGCAGTGACTTGGGGTACAATCAGCTGTCTGGCTCACTCCCGCTTATGACTAACAACAACCTGATGACGCTGTGAGCCATCCTCTGCTGGGTTATTGCATCACCCTCCCCTCTTTATTGCATCCTTTTCCCCTCAACGATTGCATCATCCTCCCAGTTTTGCACCACCCTCCTCTATATTTTTGCGTCCTCTTCCCCGCTTGTATTGCGTTATCGTCCCCTCCCCATTCCCTAAGTTAGGCTTGAGCATACTACCCGCCCGGGTCGGGTACCCAGTACCCGGATCCGCTTTTAGGGCGGGTCGGGTATCGCGAATCCTGAAAATTACCCGGCGGGTCGGGTCCGGGTTACCCGGGCGGGTATTATACCCGACACGTCGGGTAGCGGGTACCGGACCCAAAATCGGGTAGCGCGTCTACCCGGCGGAACCAGCGCGACATTGATCGCCCTGGTAGAAAAAATTCTTCAAGTTTTTAGGTTACGTAGCTTCTAGGTCACGTAAAGCATTGTAGAGTGGCATGGGTTGGATTTCGTAGATCCAGATGTATTCAGAGCGGTTGAAAATTGGTTGGAATTCCAACGAATCGAATTTCCCCAATCGAATTTGCAACCCAACCTGAATCCAACCAACCGCACAGCACCACATTGGTTGGACTTCCAACCAGTTGACTCTGGGGGTCAAAGAATCAAACCCCCTAAAACCGCACACAACCCCATCCCAACTAGAAAACCCAACCAACTCCCCACTCGGGCCCCACTCACGTCCCACTCACCACACCTGAGCTGTTAAAGATTTGGCACACCTCATACTCCCTCCCGCCGCAACTGACGTTTTTTAAGCACTATCTGGGTCGTAGGTTTAGTAGCCCAACAGGGTAGGAAAACGCGGGTAATACTACCCGCTTTTCAAGGAAACCGGGTCGGGTATACCCGGACCCGCCAGGCGGGTATTCAATTACCCGCCCCCAAATCCCGGGTCCGGGTATTGGTCCTGGGCATGTTACCCGACCCGTACCCGACCCGAGAATACCCGACCCGAAGTCGGGTATAGCAAAACCGGGTCGGGTCGGGTAAATACCCGGTTTTGCTCATGCCTACCCTAAATGAATCAATAGCTCAACGTGACAGTTTTGGCATGAGGGGAGAAACAAGATAAAGGTGGTTGGTTAGGGTGGAATGTTCAACCAACCTTAATGTCAATCAACCTAGACTGTGTTCAGTTTGGTGCTTGGCTATTGAAGTAAGCTTAGCATGAACCAACATTGAAATTTAGTCTATGGATGCCAAAATCAGATAAAATAGGGATAAGCCAGAGGCCCACCCTCCAATAAAGCCACCAGTTTAGTTTCTCTCCATTATTCATTCCACCAATGTACTCGTCTGCCCCTTTCACCTTGTGAAGGAATCTGAGGAGAAACACGTTGGGAGGGACTGTTCCAGCGTCCTACTCGTCCATGACTCGCCTGCGAGACTTGTGAGTTAGCATCGCCTACACAACTCATCTGACTCGTCCTACTCGTCCATGACTCATCTGCTTTGTGAGCTTCTTTTTATCCACTCCTCACTGCTTCGTCATCTGTTTATCCCCTCCTCACTGCTTCGTCATCTGTTTATCCCCTCCTCACTGCTTCGTGCTGAGGGAGCACTGGGATGGGATCAGCCTACTAGACCTGGAGTAGGGCTATAGGTGTTAGAGATAGACCGCGATTCAACTTTCGTATTTCTACTTTTATAGCCTATGCTGGACTAAGAGTATTTTCGTGGGTTGGGTGTTCCACACTAATCCCAACCTCACCCAAGTGTGATTTTCCAACATCCCCAACCAACCAACCACTTGGAGATTTCGGAGATCCCATTGGGGATTCCCCCTCATCCATCACACCCCACCCCACCTTGTGATGTAGTAATAGAACCTTGAGCTCCTTACCTAATTAATATTTTCAGCTCTTCTTCTGACAATAGGTATGTTGCCCTGAGGTGTTGTTTGTGCACTCACCTGCTACGTAACAAACCTGTTTCCAACACGTCGTGCCAAGTCTGTGCATATCTTGATCGCCTTTGCCTCTTTTATTTTTCATCTCACCAGAGTTGTGCCTCACCACAGTCGTGCCTCACCACAGTCATGCCTCACCACAGTCGTGCCTCACCACAGTCGTGCCTCACCCCAGTCGTGCCTCGCCACCACTGTGGTCCCTCTGTGCAGAATCCCAGCTAGGGCCCATGTGTGTCTCTCGATTCTCCTCTGTTTCCTCGACTTCCCTGCCTTGCGTGCAGATACCTGGATGGCAATGTTCTGGAAGGACCATTGCCCGTTAGTTCCAAGGCCTCCGCTGAGAGAATGTTAGTCTCCTTCACTTTGCTAAACACGGTGTTATTCTCTTTATCCTTGCATAAGACTGAATCTTGGTGGTCATTTGCAGTTCTTGCACGAGCGTGTTTTGCCTTTGTTTATAACGTCTGTACGCTAAGCTGCTTTGTGCATGTGTGCATGTATGCATGTATGGTCCACTTTATCTGTGGTGCGTCTAAATTGTGTCAATGTGCATGCCTGGATGTGTGTGTGTATGTGTGCATGCTTGCGATTGTGAATGTGTTGTGAATGCGTGTGCATGTGCATGTGTGACACTGTGCATGGCCATGGCAGTTGGCTAAGTGGGAACCGCTTTTCTGGCAACATCCCTACGGATATGTACTCTTATGGCTCCGTCGTCGAACTGTGAGTCATAGTTATTACAACACATCATCATGGCAACACAACACATCATCATGGCAGCACATCATCACGGCAACACATCATCCTGCTTTTCTCAAAGTGTTAACACATGTCAATGCCGCTTTTATCTCTGTCATTCCCAGCAACAAACGGATAACACTTGCGAGCATGTTGTAGGTGATTTTTTAGAATTCTTAAAAATCACACATGGATGGATAACACTTGCGAGCATGTTGTAGGTGATTTTTTAGAATTCTTAAAAATCACACATGGATGGATAACACTTGCGAGCATGTTGTAGGTGATTTTTTAGAATTCTTAAAAATCACACATGGATGGATAACACTTGCGAGCATGTTGTAGGTATGTGATTTTTTTATTTTTTTTAAATCACAAATGGATAACACTTGCGAGCATCCTTGTGTTCTTTTTCCACCACCATCTGCACGTTACCTTCTCCTCTGCCTCTTTTGAACCTCTTCACCACCTCATCACTATCCAATTCACCGTCTCACTGCAGCTCTCCAGCTGACTGCAGCTCACTTCTTCCACTTCTCCTCTTTCCAAATCCCTCCCTATTCTTACACTGCCCCATCTCTCTTTTTCAGCTCTTCCCGTCTCTCTTATCCCTGCTTGCTTTTCCACCGTTGCTTCCTCCACTTCACACCCCTCCCACTGTTATCTCCCCCCCCCCACCCACTTTAATCCGAATCCTTCCCATCTTTCTGCCTGTCCCATCTGTCTGCCTGCCCCATCTGTCTGCCTGCCCCATCTGTCTGCCTGTCCCATCTGTCTGCCTGTCCCATCTGTCTGCCTGCCCCATCGTTAGTTCCATTGGGGGAAACGTTCTGCAGGGCTCCATAGACAGCAGCATCAGCAAGCTAACATCCATCACTTATCTGTGCGTGTCTGCCTGCCATTTCCCCCTCAAAAATGCGACTTCGGGCTAGTATCCCTCATGCTTGCACACACGCAACAAGACCATGCTTGCATGTTGCATGGACGCACACACTTAGGCACCCACCCTCGCCTCACCATGCCCATCTCTCTGACATGCACGTCACTACCATACTCACTTCTGAAGGAACTAGCTTTGAGGAGAAAATGATGGTTTGAGTAGGGAGGCAAGAGACTCTATTGTACAAACATTGGAGCAAGGAAGAGATGGAGGGGAAAGTCTCCCATTGGCCGTAATGTAGACCAATGGGAGAGGTAGCTTGGAGGACAAGCAACCACAAAGTGTGGTGCTCTCCGATTGGCCAAAATGTGGACCAATGGGGGAGGTTGCTTGGAAGATTATCAACCACAAAGTGTGGTGCTTGGTGATTGGTTGGGTCTTGGGACCAAGGACCATTTGGTTGGAATAGTGCCAACCAAATGTCTAGGACCAAATCCAATCTTGACCAACCCAAATGTGGGGTTAGTCAACCCAACCAACAACCCCCCAATAAATATAATGACTACACCTCCTGATCTAGGCATGCATGTTGTATAGATATATATTTTACAACAACTTCCACTGCATGTTGTATGAAAAGCATCCACCTATTAACCGCCCCCCCTATCACAACTGCGTGCGAGTGCCCCCCACACCCCCCCCCCCCCCCCCCCCTCCTCCTCCCCTTCCCTCCAACCAACACATGCCACCTGTCCAGTGAGCGCATGCCAGATGGTATCTGTCTGTCATCCCCGTGAGTCATGGCAGTGATGTAAGCTCCAACAAGCTTGGTGGAACGATTCCCCAGGAGATTTCAGAGCTTACCCGGCTTAGGCGGCTGTAAGTCTACATTTCCACTTAGGAGACTCAAGAACGATTGATTAGAAATTTGTGAGGGCTTACCTAGTTGAGGAAAAAATTAGGGGTAGGTTGCGTCCTGTGCCAAGGATATAGGCCCGCACAAGTAAGTTGGGTTGGCGCAAAAAATGATCGGTCTTGTTATCTTGGTTGAGCCAAAATTATTGGGGTGCTACAAATTGAGGACCCAACCTTTGAAGGTCAGTAATGGCCAAGCAGGGAACCCAACCCCAACTAGGGTTGACTCTAGTAAACCCAAGATTAATTAGTTTGGCTGTATCTACCCAAGAATGCTAATCTTTGCAGCCTAATAGAGCAGTGGAAAATATACAGTGTACTTTACTCTGTACTGCGCACTGTGCTTATGCTATGGGTTACATTGTGCTTTACATTCAACCTTTCACATTCACTGCACTTTACGAGCATGCTGGAAAGTCTTCAAGTCCTCAAGCCTCTCGCCTGGCGGAACAAGCTTTGTTCTTTTCAACGTCTAGCCTGCATAATCTATCCTTGCACAACAACCTCTAGCCTCAAGTCCCCAAGTCCTCAAGCCTCTCGCCTGGCAGAACAAGTTCCCAAAGATTTGAGAGTTTTAGAGCTCCAGTCTGTTGCTACTACTGCTGCTACTCTTCCATGACAACTGAGCTCCAGTCTGTTCCTCCGTACTCCATCCATCCAGTGGTCCTCCAGTCTGCATCCATCCACCTCCAGTCTGTTCCTCCGTACTCCATCCATCCAGTGGTCCTCCAGTCTGCATCCATCCACCTCCAGTCTGTTCCTCCGTACTCCATCCATCCAGTGGTCCTCCAGTCTGCATGCATCCATCCACCTCCAGTCTGTTCCTCTGTACTCCATCCATCCAGTGGTCCTCCAGTCTGCATCCATCCACCTCCAGTCTGTTCCTCCGTACTCCATCCATCCAGTGGTCCTCCAGTCTGCATCCATCCACCTCCAGTCTGTTCCTCCGTACTCCATCCATCCAGTGGTCCTCCAGTCTGCATGCATCCATCCACCTCCAGTCTGTTCCTCCGTACTCCATCCATCCAGTGGTCCTCCAGTCTGCATCCATCCACCTCCAGTCTGTTCCTCCGTACTCCATCCATCCAGTGGTCCTCCAGTCTGCATGCATCCATCCACCTCCAGTCTGTTCCTCCGTACTCCATCCATCCAGTGGTCCTCCAGTCTGCATCCATCCACCTCCAGTCTGTTCCTCCGTACTCCATCCATCCAGTGGTCCTCCAGTCTGCATCCATCCACCTCCAGTCTGTTCCTCCGTACTCCATCCATCCAGTGGTCCTCCAGTCTGCATGCATCCATCCACCTCCAGTCTGTTCCTCCGTACTCCATCCATCCAGTGGTCCTCCAGTCTGCATCCATCCACCTCCAGTCTGTTCCTCCGTACTCCATCCATCCAGTGGTCCTCCAGTCTGCATCCATCCACCTCCAGTCTGTTCCTCCGTACTCCATCCATCCAGTGGTCCTCCAGTCTGCATGCATCCATCCACCTCCAGTCTGTTCCTCCGTACTCCATCCATCCAGTGGTCCTCCAGTCTGCATCCATCCACCTCCAGTCTGTTCCTCCGTACTCCATCCATCCAGTGGTCCTCCAGTCTGCATCCATCCACCTCCAGTCTGTTCCTCCGTACTCCATCCATCCAGTGGTCCTCCAGTCTGCATCCATCCACCTCCAGTCTGTTCCTCCGTACTCCAGTGGTCACCTGTCCAGTCCATCCAGTGGTCATGAAAAATTACTTTGTTTCCTCTTCCTGTACATGAGCATGAGTGGCATGAGCAGCAACCAGCTTGAAATTGCGTGAGGAGTCTAGTTTTGAGGCGCCTCAAAAAACCATGCGTGAGGAGTCTAGTTTTGAGGCGCCTCAAAACTAGACTCCTTACTTTGTTTCCTCTTTCTGTACCTCTATCACTATCAGTGGCCTGAGCAGCAACCAGCTTGACATTGACGCGCATGCATATGCATTGAATCTCTACGTACCTATGTTTGCGTACCTGTACTGGTGATATGAGCACCAACTGGCTTGAGATTTACCTGCATGTGTTGAGTATCCATGTAGCAATGTTTGTGTATCCGTGCCGGCGACATGAGCATCAACCCTCTTGGAATCACTCTGCATGTGTTGAGTCGCCATGTAGCTATATTTGAGTACCAGTGTCGGTGACATGAGCCACCTGTTGAATCACCTGGATTGAAATTCTATGTAGCTATGTTTGTGTACTTGTGCCCGTGACATGAGCATCAACCTGCTTAGAACCACCCTGCATGTGTTGAATCATCCGGTCTTCTTTGTGTTCCTCTCTACCAGTGATATGAGCAGCAACCGACTGAGTGGAGATATTCCACAGAAATTGACCGGCCTTACTCAGCTCACAGTGCTGTGAGTGTGCCTCTTGCACATGCTGGTATGCCGTGTATTGCTAGGCTCTTGCTGTGTGGCACTTTTCTTGTTGAATGTTGCTAGAATATAGCCTTAATCTTCATTCTACATTGATTAGTATGCTTGGGTAGCCACCTAGAATAGCCTAGAATAACTAGGGTGTAATCACCCTAGTTGAGGGTTGGGCTCCCAAAAGCGTTGGGTTCTTAAAAGGGTTGGGTTCCCAATCATTGAGACCCGACCGTGCGAGTGTGAAGGTGCTGTGCATGTGAAGGTGTTGCGCGTGTGAAGGTGCTCTAATTTTGCCCCTTGCATGCGTTTCTAAGCACTTCCTTGATAAGAGTATGCCCCTCCCTCCCACCGTTTTCCCTCCCCCCCCGTTCCTCCAAGCCAGCAACCTGAAGCGACCAGCTGTCCGGGTTAGTGCTGCAATCCATCCCTTTGTATCTTCACTACCCCTCCACTCATTTCCCTCCCCTCCCAATCAGTAACCTGAGGGACAACCAGCTGAGCGGCTGTGTGCTGCAGCCCATCCCTGCGTCCATCCAGCAGTACCAGCTCGACTCCAACTTCTTCTCCTGCGGATTCACTCTCCTGCCCAACTGCTCCCAACGCGTCATAGCCGTCCAAGCCAACTGCCTTAACTCCTCCGGCGTGCCTCCCTGCACCACAGAGAGTCACTCGATGGACCCCCAGCGAGTGAGGGAGATTTGCGCCTCGTTCTGCAGCCTCTCCCCCACCTCCCCTCCCTGCGGCGGCCACGGTACCTGCTTCTACTCCGGCCCTAACAAGATTCCCACATGTGCCTGCCACAGCGATTATATCAACGGGGAAGTTCCTGGAACCTGCGTCCCACGAGCTACTACCTCTGGGGGAGCTTTAAATATCTCCCTGCTGACCTCAGTTAGCATATCCTCGGGGGGTGAAGGGGCGGAGATGGGAGTGATTGGGGAGGCAGCAGTGCAGCCTGGAGGGGGCATCGTGCTTACTGCCTCCCAGCACCCGTCCTGGGGTGCTGCTTTCCTCGTATCGCCCATCCGCCTCTTCTCCTACGCCATTCGCAACCATTCCTGCGGCCGCGACATCGCCTTCTCCCTCTCCTTCTCCTTCGCCATCACCCCCACTGCTGGCAGCAGCGGTGTCGGTGCGGGCGGGTTCGCATTTGTCCTCTCGGCCAGTGACACGGTGATAGGCGGTGGTGGTGGGAGCACAGTGGGTTATGCTGGGATGGACGAGCGCAGCTTGGCAGTGGAATTCGACACGCTTAAAGACCCATCTAGCGAGGACCCTGACAATAGCCACATTGGGATTAATATTGGTGGCAGTGTTGTTTCTATTGCCAGTGTGGCGGTCCCAAGGCTCAACAGTGGGAGCACCAAGTACGCGTGGATTGACTACACGCCCTTGAAAGGCGGCGTGCTGAGGGTCTTTCTTTCCAGTGACCCCTCTCGCCCCACCAAGCCCACTCTTGCTCGCAGCCTGTCCCTGTGTGCGGTGCTGAGGCCAACGTTTGAAGAGGCCACCTTTGTGGTTGGGTTTACTGGGGCGTCTTCCGATCCGCCTCAGCAGCATGTGGTGGAGCAGTGGGCGCTTGATACAGGTGCAATACTTGATACAGGTGCACTACTTGCTTGTCCTCGCCCCCTAGAGAGATCATGCAAGTACAACCACCCACACACACACACATGCCCATGGTGCACATGAGGGTCGCCCCCATGGATCATACAGAGAATCTACAGAGTAAGACCTCCCTCAGCAGCACGTGGTGCTGCAATGGGCGCTAGATACAGGTGGCCAGCCTTTTTCCCTCGCTCTGTCTTGGTTTTTATGTACTCGAAAGTCTCACCCACTCACCCAATCACCTTGTGCAGCTTGTTATGCTGCAATGTGCGCTGGATACTTGAAAGAACCGGAACGCACCAAGACTTGCCAAGGATGGATTATTCTTGCTTCGCTTTCAGTTGCTGCTTTTTTTCAACTAGCTGGGCTCCATCTCAGATTGTTTCTCTGGTTTATTGCTTTCCATGCCTTTTTATTTTCTGCCCGTCTGCTGTTTGCTTTTTTCCTTGCAGATTTTCCAACCCAGGAAGTTGTTTCAGGTACTACGCAGCATTTTAATTTTACAATGCATGGCGGGAGATGCAGTGGACGAGACACATAGATACATGGCATGGCATGGCATGAATGGTATGGGTGAAATGGGGCGATGCATGGTGTGCAATGCATGCCGTGGCGGTGGCGGCGTGCAATGCATGGCATAGTGTGAGTGAAATAACAACAGTCACTGCATGGCATGGCATCAGTGTAGCCATTAAGCGTTAGGGTGGGCTGCAGCGAAGAGGAAAAACTTTAGCAAAAGAGTGACAGTAGGTAAATTGATACCCCTGTTTAAAAAACGAGAATTTGAAGTTCCGAACTCAACTCCACTAGAAGATTAAAACGCCAACTAGTTTCGGCTGACTGGGATAGGCCCCAAATCAGACCTTCATCAGTGCTGGTGGAATTGTAAAAGTGAGTTTACAAGCGAGCTCTTAAACAACAACTTCAAGGTTGGAACAACCGTGACTGAAATCTGGTCAGCCAATCGAAAACACCCTGGAAAGTTCCAAGGTGTCAGGTCTTCATTCCTCGGGTCGGGAAGTGTCGTGGCCCGTGGGTAACCCACATCTCGCCAGCTGGTGCTCAGGGAGGCTCGCGCGAACAAGTAACTTTTGCAAGTTACGCCCAGCCTATCAGAAACTGAGAACTTGATTGATTGAAATGAGCAAGAGCATACATCCTTAAGTACCGAGCATCGGAGAGGATGGGAAGGGATAGGGGAGAATCGGAGGGAATCCCAAGGGAATTCTCCCAAATCGTGGGGATTTGGGATGGATTGGGTTGGGATAGGTTGGGGATGAAAACATAGCTACACCCAACCTAACAAATATGAGTATCCCTAAAACCAACAAAGTGTCAACACACAAAATTGTGCCAACCGAATTGCAGCCTATCTCTAACACACCCCCTAGGCTGCAACGTCGGAAGCCGTAGGGACGCCAAGTCCCATGGTACGGAGGAGACGATAGTGATCACGGCGTCCAAGAGCCTTCGTAAACAAGTCGGCGAGGTTGCAGTCAGAGGAAATATGCTTGACGCACAACTGCCCTCGCTGGACGAGCTCGCGCATGAAGAAGTGTCTCAATTCGATGTGCTTGGTTCGTTGGTGGAAGACAGGATCTTTGGTGAGGTGGATAGTGCTCTCGTTATCACACCACAGAGTCGGGGTCTGCTGAGGATACCCGAGCTCAGCCATGAGGTAGGTAAGCCATCGAGCTTCTTGGGCTGCCATGGTGCCTGCGTATAACTCAGCTTCGCAAGATGACAATGAGACGGATGATGAGCGTGTAGATCGCCAGCTGATGACACCACTGCCAAGGGTGAAGCAATAGCCTTGGGAAGAGCGGCGGTCAGCTTGATCATCAGCCCATGAGGAGTCGCTGTATCCCTCGAGGTGAGGAGGGGTCGTGCCACCGAGAGTGAGGACGTAGTCCTTGGTGGCTTGGAGGTAGCGAAGGACGCGCTTAGCAGCCGACCAGTGGCGATTGGTGTATCGACCGGCAGCAACGTAACGCGAGAGCACACTGATGGGGTAGGCGAGGTCGGGCCTTGTGCACATCATCGCATACATGAGTGATCCGACGAGCTCGGGGTATGCCTCATCACAAGGCTCAGGCGATGGAACTGATGGAGTGGTCAGATCATGCTGCAAGGGAAGGGGAGTGGCCACTGGCTTGGCGTTGTCCATGGCAAAACGCTTGAGGACGTTGTTCACATAGAACTCTTGAGAGAGAGTGATGGTTCGAGCTTCGCGATCCCGCGAGATTTCCATCCCAAGGTAGTTCTTGAGTTCACCGAGGTCCTTCATGGCGAGAGCGTCCCCAAGAGCTTGCTTAACAGCTGCCAGCTGATCGGAGTCCTTGGAGACGAGAATCATGTCGTCAACGTAGACAAGGATGAAGAACGGGTTGTCGTTCTTGCGAATGAAGAGACTCGGATCGGCTGAGGAGGGGTGGAAGTCGAGTGACTCGAGGGTTGCCTTCAGCTTCTTGTGCCATTCCCGAGGAGCCTGCTTCAACCCGTAGACTGGTCGATTCAGCTTCCAGACCGTGCCGGGTGGAAAGGGTAAGGGAAATCCTTGAGGACGTTCCATGTAGATGTCCTCGGGGAGATCCCCTTGGAGAAATGCAGCAGAGACGTCCATGGAGTGAACGTCAAAGTTGCATCGAGCAGCGATGTCCAGCAGAGTCCGAAGTGTGGGCAGTTTGGCTGTCGGAGAGAAGGTGTCGAAGAAGTCCAGGCCCTTCTTCTGCGTGAAGGCTTTTGCACAGTATCGCGCCTTGAAGACTGGGAGTTCGCCAGGCAGCTGCTTGACGCGAAAAACCCATTTGCCACGGACAATGTTAACTCCTCGCGGAGGAGAGACGTCCGTGAAAGAGTTGTTGCGAATGAATGCTTCACACTCCGCGATCATGGCTGCGAGCCACTGGGGGGAGTGTGGTCCAGAGATGGCTTCATCATATGAGTTCGGGGTCGGGATGGATGGATTTTCCGAGAATGATGGCAGTTCAGCGGGAGTGATGGCAGGCCGAAGAGGGTGAGGGTGAAGGTTGTACAGCAGCGTGGCATGAAGGAGGGCGTAACCCCAAAGGGAAGGTGGTGCACCAGCGTGAGTGAGAAGACAGCGAGCGATTTGCACGAGAGTGCGATTGCGACTTTCGGCAATGCCATTCTGCTGCGGACTGTGGGGAAGGGTGAAGGTCTGGCGAATGCCTTGGGAGGCACAGAACGCTTGAAGGGAATGGTTTCGAAATTCGCCACCGCCATCGGAATGGAGGCACTTGACTGAAGTGCGGAAATGATTTTGGGCTTGTCGAAGCCATGCGATGACGACATCTGGAACAGCTGCTTTGGAGGAGAGTAGGTGGACGGAGGCATAGCGAGAGTGATCGTCAACGAGCACTAGGAAGTAAGAGTGCCCGCCACGAGAGCGGACTGGAGCTGGGCCCCAGACGTCCATGTGGACGAGGTCAAGCGGGGCGGCTGCAGCAGAGGGCGAGGAAGGGTGAGGCAACTGGCGTAGTTTGCTTTGCGCGCAGTCCAAGCATGGAGGAGCGGGAGAAGTGGAGGGTGGAGGAAGTGTGTCGGGCAGGTGAAGAAGCAACTTCTTAGACGCAAGCTCGGAGAGCATGCGGAAGTTGGGATGCCCAAGACGATGGTGGTAAAGAATGGTTGGATCGGTGAGCTGACGGCAGGAGCACGATGATGTGGTGGAGGTAGAGTGTGCTTCTGTGGAAGATGGAGGTACTTGGAGTGTGTAGAGGTTGTTGGCGGTCAGTGTGAAGCGTGCAAGTAGGGCATTGGTGGTGGGCTGAAGGAGATCACAGTGATTGGAATGAGCTGGGAAGATAGTGGTTACCCCTGCTCGTTGAATCTCATGTTGTGCAAGTAAGTTGTGCCGAAGAGTGGGCACGCATATGCCAGTGACTGTGCCAGATGGGAAGGCTGGGCATGGAAGAGTGGAGGAACCATGGGCGACAGTTGTGAAGCTGGAGTCAGCGCCCAGAAGAGGAATGGGTGCTTGGTATGGTTTGAAAGACTCTTTGTCTCGGAGGACTGTGTGGGTTGCGCCACTGTCCAGGACGAATTCAAGCGGTTTAGATGGTGTTTGTGGAGACGTCGAGTACTGGGAACTGGTTTCATTGATCATGGGAAGGCCAGGGAACAACAGGTTGAGACGAACATCAGGACTAGGGGCATGAACGGCTGAGTCCTGACTATCCTGTGCCTCAACCTGGTTGAGCTGGCGCATGCGAAGCCAGTTGGGCGGCTTGGAGTTGATACCATTCTTGGCGAACCAGTCGTCGTCCTTCTTTTTGAAACAGGTGGCGAGCGGGTGATTGGTGCCGCCGCACACCTGACCCGCACGGGGTCCCATTTTGATGACGTAAGGACAGGGTGGGTAGCGGTTACGAGTGGGTGGCGGATTGGGACGCGATGCTGGAGCCGGGACAGGAGCGCGAAGCGCATTTGCACGAGCCTGCGCAGTGTTGTCTTTTTCAGCAGAGAGAAGTGCGGAAGAGACTTTGGCAAAGGTTAGCTCTTCTGGCGGGAGATGGAGAAGCATGGAGCGGGTGACATTGTAAGAGGGGGTCAGCCCAACAAGCAGAGCTGCTGCAGGGGCTTGCTCTGGGAAGACAATGCCGAGTTGCTTCAGCTCCTGATGAATCCCTTGAATTTCAGCGACGTAATCTGCCATTCCAGGGCACTCCTCCAGACGCACTTGAAACATGCGGGGGATGAGGATCGCCACCCCCACAGCGGTTTTGTTGAGGAAGCGGTCGTTGAGGTACTCCCAGATGGCGTGCGCGGAGGGGTAGTTATGGTAAGTTTTGACGAGCTCGGAAGGGGTAGTGCCGACGAAGACGCCAATGATAGCGGCGTCGGCTTGCTCCCACACGCTGTAAGATTCCTCATACTTGGACATGGATTCCTCATGGGTTTTTAACTCTTCCCCTGTGGCTGTGGCCGAGAGCTTCTTGGGAAGGATCGGCATCTTTCCTTTGCCGCGATTGAGGAGGACATCCTTGAGGCAAATCCCCTCAATTTTGCGGCTTAGGAGATGCTTATCAACCCCATAGCTCCACTCCTTGAAGTTCGGGCTCGAGCCATTTGGGTCGAGGCGCAAGGGAGTGATTGGGTTTGAGAGAGACGCGGAAGGATACGCCATGATGCTCCAAGGACCCTTTCTCCGCGCGTAGCGCAGCTCTTAAGTCGCCGATAGGCACTTCGGCGACTGCGCGCAGCGCGGGCTCCGCGAAAAACAGGGTTTCCCTTTGCGGATTTTCAACACTCGGAGAAGAGGAATAGCCGATAAAGAGGGAAATCTGAACGCCAAAAATCTATGGAAACCCGCGATGTGCTGCTGCAATCCCGCTGCTCCGCGACCCCCCTTTTCCGCTTTGCCGCTGCCCCCTTTCCGCTTCGCCGCTGCCCCCTTTCCGCTTCGCCGCTGCACCCCCCCGCTGTTGCAAGGGCGACGGGCGACAGCCCGTCCAGCTTCGACGAGCAGATGCGGGGCGACGGGCTCAGCCCGATCAGGTGCGACGAGCAGATGCAGGGCGACGGGCTCAGCCCGATCAGGTGCGACGAGCAGATGCGGGGCGACGGGCTCAGCCCGATCAGGTGCGACGAGCAGATGCGGGGCGACGGGCTCAGCCCGATCAGGTGCGACGAGCAGATGCGGGGCGACGGGCTCAGCCCGATCAGGTGCGACGAGCAGATGCGGGGCGACGGGCTTCAGCCCGAAAAGAAGCGCCGCGCTGAGTTGAGGCGACTAGAAAAGCTTTGCGTCGTAAGACGCAAATGCTAGGCTCCAACGGAGCGAGAGGATCAAGAGCCGCTTAGGCGGAAACGAGCTCTGATACCATATCAGAAACTGAGAACTTGATTGATTGAAATGAGCAAGAGCATACATCCTTAAGTACCGAGCATCGGAGAGGATGGGAAGGGATAGGGGAGAATCGGAGGGAATCCCAAGGGAATTCTCCCAAATCGTGGGGATTTGGGATGGATTGGGTTGGGATAGGTTGGGGATGAAAACATAGCTACACCCAACCTAACAAATATGAGTATCCCTAAAACCAACAAAGTGTCAACACACAAAATTGTGCCAACCGAATTGCAGCCTATCTCTAACACAGCCTTCCATGCGACAAAAATTCTCAGTGTATAATCCGTGTGTTATGAGTCGATTTTTGAGTCGACTCAAAATCGACTCATTACACCTGTATTTCAGACTTTCAGTCACTGTCTCGTTCTCCCTCCCTTTTCCCTCCGTTCCCCCTCCTCTCCCCCTCCAATATCCCTCCTCTCCCCCTCCAATATCCCTCCTCTCCCCCTCTAATATCCCTCCTCTCCCCCTCCAACATCCCTCCTCTCCCCCCCAATATCCCTCTTCTCCCCCTCCAATATCCCTCCTCTCCCCCTCCAATATCCCTCCTCTCTCCCTCAGCCCTACCCAAAGGCTTAGCCATGTGCGATGCCACATTGACCGCTGCCAGGGCCAACCGTTTCTTCTGCTGTGCAAGTTCTGGGAAACTCTATTTGTATCTCTTCACATTTCATTTCAAGTGCTCTGCCCTCTCTCCCCCTGTGCCCTTCCCCTTGTACGTCCTCTTCTTTCTCTTGCAGCCTTACCCAACGGCTTCACCATGTCAGACACCACTCTGACCACCGCTGGAGCCAACCGTTTCTTTCGCTACGCAAGCGCAGGCGCACTGCCACTGGCAGCAGGGGCAGGCGGCGGGTCTGGCGGAGGGGGAGGGGGTGGGGCAGGGGGCGGGGCAAGGGTGCAGCAGTGGGCGGTAGCAACGAACATGACCTGGGTGCGGTCAGACCTGCTCCCAAACTGGCCCGTGCGCAACCAGGCAGGGTGCGGGGACTGCTGGGCGTACGCAGTGGTCGCCAGCATCGAAGCAGCCTACGCCATCCTTGCCAACAACGCCTCTCTCCCTCTGCTTTCGGTCGACCTCCTGCTGAGCGACATGAAGGCGGATTGTGCTGGGGGGTCGCCTTCTAAGGCGTTTCAGTACCTGCTGGGGATGAGCAAGCTCGGGGGAGGGCTGGGTTTGGAAGGGGGTGCGGAGGCAAAGGCAGCAAGGTGGTGGAGAGGTAGAGGAGGGGGAGGGATCATGGGAAGCAGTGGGGCAGGAGAAGTGATAAGAGGAGCAGAGGTAGGGGAGTTGGGTGTGAGCAATGTGACTGTGACTCGAGGAAATGGCAGGGGAAGCCGGTCGCAGGGGAAGGCAGTGGGGATGCAGGATGCGATATGCTCACCGCTGTTGAGGCCGATAGCGGAGCTGCTGGGGGTGAAGTGCGGGGGGAAGAAGAGACCCGGTCACTTGATGGTGCGTGAAGTGTGTTGGTGAGGTGCAGCGGTGAAACATGGTGGTGAGGGGAAGTGGTGAGGGGATGGGGGGGTTGCGAGGGGTGAGTGAGGGTGAGGGTGCTAGTTAGGGGTGAACTGTGGAGGGATGAAGAGACCCGGTCCGGGTCACGCGATGGTGCGTGGAGTGTGGTGGTGAGTGGATTGTGGTGGCGCGGGGAGTGTGGTGGTGAGTGGATTGTGGTGGCGCGGGGAGTGTGGTGGTGAGTAAATTGTGGTGGCGCGTGGAGTGTGGTGGTGAATGGGTTTACAAGTGATGATGAATGCACTATGGAGATGGTGAGGAATGAGCAGATAGAATGGGTTTACTAGTGGGATGTGTTCAGCATTGTTCAGCCGATCGCGGTGCTGCTGGGGGTGAAGTACTGTGCTGTGCTGTGGGATGAAAGGACCGGACCACATGACGTTGCATGGACTGTGTGGTGGTAGGAAATGCTCGTTCCATGGTCTGCCTTCTCCACAGAATGGAAATGCCTTTGCTTCTACCCTGTTGCTTCTGTCATAGTTTGAGCATCAGTGATGCTCAGATTGTGACTGATTGCTCAGATTGTGACTGATGTGTCCATGAGCACATTCGCAACGGTCTGCATATGAGCGGACGGCGTTGGAGGCACCTCCTTCCACAGCTTGCTGGGATTGATAATAGGTCTCCATAATAGCCTGTTGTAAATATTTGTCTCATCCCCTGTGTTCCTCTGCAGATCCACAAGGGCCTCACCATCAAGGGCTTTGAGCGCACCTCCTTCTACAGCTGGTTTGGGTTGATCCTAGCAGTGCAGCGACAGCCAGTGGTGGTGCACATCGAGGCGACTGCTGACTCCTTTATAAACTACGATGGGGTGAGTTTATTTTGCGTATTCTGACGAAGCGAGGTTTCTCTTTTCAGGCGCCTCACATGCGGCAAGTTGCAATCAGCAGTGGTGCACTGCACATAGAGGCGTCTGCTGTATCCTTTATTAACGACAATGGGGTGAGCGTTGGTGGGATTGTATACATCATGACGACCTATAACTTGCCAGCTCTCTTGCCAGCTCTCCTCCACTTCTCTTGCCAGCTCTCCAAGTACCAGGACCCCTCGTGCTTCATCCACAACCTCAACCACATGCATCTGCTATTGGCAATCTTTGCACCATGCCACAATGCTATTCCCCTCATGAGAACCTATTCCGCCACTGCTCTTCCCAGCTATCCAAGTACCAGGACCCCGCGTGCTTCACCTACAACCTGAACCACGTGGTGCTGCTGGTGGGGTACCGCCTGGTTGGCTCCGATGCAGCCTTCCCCCACATGGCGCCACCCTTCTGGATCATCCGCAACTCATGGGGGGCGGAGTGGGGCGATGGGGGCCACATGCGCATGGACATCCAGGGGGGCGACGGGGTGTGCGGCATCAATACCCTGCCAGGCATCTACCCCATTGTTCTTGGTATGTTATTAGGGTTCTTTGTTACTTGAAGCCTCAAACCAACACACGCACATAAACATTCATGGGGGCAATGGTGTGTGCGGGATCAACACCCTGCCAGGGGTCTAACCCATCGTGCTTGATATGTTGATATGCCTGCTCATTGTTGTTTCCATTGAGTATGTTGTGGGAGTTTGTGCTGTGCCCCATCATCTTGCATGAGGGGATGTGGATAACGGACTTGCGTGCATTGCTATGATTGCATTGCTAGAGTAGGTCCAGAGTTTATTTGGATTATGGAGTCCAAAAGGAGCAAACTCAAGGTGAAGAAGACAAATTTGAAACAATTTTTTTTTTTCATCTTTGAAACGCCACGGACAAAATCATTTTAAATTACTCTGACATTTGGACACGTTGCAAGGAGGAAGAATCCCTCTAGACAGGAAGAGGAGGATGGGGAAAAAAGGGCCTCAACAGAATCTACAACACCCCAAATTGAAAGCGCAAAAAAGCGCAGAATCCCCATAGAAACCGAACTTTCCTTTTTTCCTCGTCCAATGAGACTCAACCACTTCAAAGAAGTTGGAAGCATTTTCAGCTCAATCATATCATTCTCAAACTTCTTCTGTCGAATGGATTTCTCGGTCAGTTTTACAAATTGAGAACGGTGTTCCATTCAAATATCTGGTCAAATGATTTTCCTCTTTTCCAGATGCCAAGGACCCGTGCAACCGTGGGGCGCATCAGGATCCGATAGGGTCGGTGTTCAATCCTTGTGGCAACTTCATGTGCTCCGTGTCGAAGGATGGCAACCACTGCGACTGCAACACGGCAACTGATGGGCGATTCATAGAGGCCAACAACACAGACGGCACGCGCACCTGTGCCTATGGTATGGATGGTGGTGTGATAGGGTTACCAAAACCTGTGGCAATGGAATGTATGACGGGTTGATAGGGTAACCACTCCTGTGCCTATGGCATGTAGGACGGACGGTGAGGTGTTGCTGCTCTCAAGTGGTCCTTCGACTCACATTGCAACCCGTGTGTGGTGGGCACGTGAGAGCATGACGGCAGGGGCGTTTTGAGTGGACTCAAAATATCCCTCCAACCCGTCCCCTCCCTCCCTCTTCCAGTGGATGCATGTGCACCTTACATCCGCAACCCGTATGTGGTGGGCACGTGAGTGACTGATGGTAGGGGCGCACACTCCTGGGTGCGTCCTCCAGGCTTCAGGCATTCCCCTCCCTCTCCCTCTCACACCCCTCTGTGACTGTCTCTTTCTCTGGCACTCTCTCATTCTACCACCCCGCCCCTCCGTCTCCCGCAGTGGATGCGTGTGCGGCGCACATCCGCAACCCGTGTGTGGTGGGCACCTGTGTGAATGACGGCAGGGGCTCCTACTCCTGTGTGTGTCCTCCGGGATTCAGGCAGGGCACCACGGTAGACGGCACCTTCTCCTGCGCGCCTGGCAGCACCAGCGGCACCTACACCGTCCTCACTGACAACATCAAGTGCTCGGACGTGTTTCCCATATATGGCTTGTCCCAGCAGCAGCTGCTGCTGCAGAACCCGGTAGGCCTCTGCTTTTGACGTGCCTCAAAGGGTGCCCCTGCTGGCACAAGCGGCACCTACACTGTCCTCACAGACAATGTCAAGTGCTCGGACGAGCTCCCCTGTCTGGCTTTTCGCTGCAACTAATTCTCCAGAAGTCAGCATGTCTCTGAAGCGGGAGCATGCTTGCATAGCAGTTCGTCCTACATGGTATTCCTACCATCAACGTTCAAGTGCTCGGACGTGCTCCCTGTGTACGGCTTGTCACTGCAACAACTGATGCTGCAGAACCCGGTATGTGTTTGCCTTCAAGGCGCCTCAAAAGCTATTCCTGCACGGCTGGCAACACCAACGGCACCGACACCATCGTCGCTGACAATGCCGAGTGCTTGGACTCGTTTTCGGTGCAGTGCCTCTCTTTGCCCTCTGCTAAAGAACCCGGTATGACTCCAGCCTCTTGCTTCTGAGGCGGCTCAAAGGGTGTCACTGCTAGCAACCTACACCGTCCTCCCGGGTAATGTCAGGGGCTCCAACGCGTTTCCAATACATGGCTTGTCACTGCAACAACTGCTGCTGCAGAACCTGTTCAACAACAACTGTATGCTTTGCTTTTGAGGCACCTTAGATGCCTCTCCTGCGCGCCAAGCACCAACAGCACCTTAGATGCTTCTCCTGCGCGCCAAGCAGCACCAACAGCACCTTAGATGCTTCTTCTGCACGCCAAGCAGCACCAACAGCACCTTAGATGCTTCTCCTGCGCGCCAAGCAGCACCAACAGCACCTTAGATGCTTCTCCTGCGCGCCAAGCAGCACCAACAGCACCTTAGATGCTTCTTCTGCACGCCAAGCAGCACCAACAGCACCTTAGATGCTTCTCCTGCGCGCCAAGCAGCACCAACAGCACCTTAGATGCTTCTCCTGCGCGCCTAGCAGCACCAACAGCACCTTAGATGCTTCTCCTGCGCGCCAAGCAGCACCAACAGCACCTTAGATGCTTCTCCTGCGCGCCAAGCAGCACCAACAGCACCTTAGATGCTTCTCCTGCGCGCCAAGCAGCACCAACAGCACCTTAGATGCTTCTCCTGCGCGCCAAGCAGCACCAACAGCACCTTAGATGCTTCTCCTGCGCGCCAAGCAGCACCAACAGCACCTTAGATGATTCTCCTGCGCGCCAAGCAGCACCAACAGCACCTTAGATGCTTCTCCTGCGCGCCAAGCAGCACCAACAGCACCTTAGATGCTTCTCCTTCTTACAGGAAATGCAGTGCAAATGCCCGGAAGCCTGCTTGCAGTGCAAATGCCCGGAAGCCTGCTTGCAGTGCAAATGCCCGGAAGCCTGCTTGCAGTGCAAATGCCCGGAAGCCTGCTTGCAGTGCAAATGCCCGGAAGCCTGCTTGCAGTGCAAATGCCCGGAAGCCTGCTTGCAGTGCATGCACTTCGTGTTACAACTTCCTCAGTTCAGTTCATTCCTGACAACTTTTGAGGCGCCTCAAAACACGGACCACCTATTATCTGCCTTGTCTCCCCTTCCCTCTTCCATCTCTCCAAAGCAAACCCTCCCCTCTATTCCGTCCCTCCCTCCCTTCCTTCTCTGCCCTCCCTACCTTCTCTTCCTTCTGTTCCCTCTCGTCCCTCTCTCCCCTCCCTTCGCTCTCTTCCCTCTCTCCCCTCTCTCCCCTCTCTTCCCTCTCTCCCCTCTGTTCCCTCTCTCCCCTCTCTTCCCTCTCTTCCCTCTCTTCCCTCTCTTCCCTCTCTTCCCTCTCTCCCCTCTCTTCCCTCTCTTCCCTCTCTTCCCTCTCTCCCCTCTCTTCCCTCGCTCCCCTCTCTTCCCTCTCTTCCCTCTCTTCCCTCTCTCCCCTCTCTTCTCTCTCTTCCCTCTCTTCCCTCTCTTCCCTCTCTCCCCTCTCTTCCCTCTCTTCCCTCTCTTCCCTCTCTCCCCTCTCTTCCCTCTCTTCCCTCTCTTCCCTCTCTTCCCTCTCTTCCCTCTCTCCCCTCTCTCCCCTCTCTTCCCTCTCTTCCCTCTCTTCCCTCTCTTCCCTCTCTCCCCTCTCTTCCCTCTCTTCCCTCTCTTCCCTCTCTCCCCTCTCTTCCCTCTCTTCCCTCTCTTCCCTCTCTTCCCTCTCTCCCTTCTCTTCCCTCTCTTCCCTCTCTTCCCTCTCTCCCCTCTCTTCCCTCTCTCCCCGCTCTTCCCTCTCTTCCCTCTCTCCCCTCTCTTCCCTCTCTTCCCTCTCTTCCCTCTCTTCCCTCTCTTCCCTCTCTTCCCTCTCTTCCCTCTCTTCCCTCTCTTCCCTCTCTTCCCTCTCTTCCCTCTCTTCCCTCTCTCCCCTCTCTTCCCTCTCTCCCCTCTCTTCCCTCTCTTCCCTCTCTTCCCTCTCTCCCCTCTCTCCCCTCTCTTCCCTCTCGTCCCTCTCTTCCCCTCCAGGACATCTCGTGTGAGTCTGCTCTGCCACGGAAGTCGGTGCTCAACGTCACTGCACCCACTGCCATCACCCCGTGCTCCGTCTACTACACCACAGAGGAGGTGGGTGGAGAGAGCAGACTCTACGCTGGGGTCTCAAGCTGGGCACTCAAAGCAGCATTCCCTGCTACCCGGAGTGGCACATATGAATCCGTGGGCAGGTGACTTTTGAGTCGACTCAAAAGCAACCTGTACACTCAAAGCAGGTGACTTTTGAGTCGACTCAAAAGCAACCTGGGCACTCAAAGCAGCATCCCCTGCTACCCGGAGTGACACATATGAATCCGTGGGGGGGGCGGGGTGCCTGCTGATGTCTGCCTGCATTCTAACGAAATATAATCCCCAATCTCCACCTCCTTCCCGTGCACCTACCAGCAGGGAGACACATGTTCCGCCCTTGCCAGGGCTGAACATGGCTCAACATCTGTCGCTGTCACACCTTTTGTCCCTTGCCAGGGCTGAACATGGTTCAACATCTGTCGCTGTCACACCTTTTGTCCCTTGCCAGGGCTGAACATGGTTCAACATCTGTCACTGTCACACCTTTTGTCCCTTGCCAGGGCTGAACATGGTTCAACATCTGTCGCTGTCACACCTTTTGTCCATGCTTTACAACACATCCCCTATGACCCTTAAACCCTAAAATCCCTATCCCTACTCCTCTCTGCAGGGCCTGGCCACCTGCGTTTTTCTACCTGGATTTTCACAATATCACAATCCCCGTCCCAACTCATTCCCTTGGTCACTAACACCTCTTTCCTTATTCCCGGGCGACAACCATGAGCCTTCGCTGCATGCTTTTTTCTGGCTGTTTTCTCTATATGGGCCAACATCTCCTGCACCTTCGTCTCTGCCCCATATTATTCCCTTCCCATCCATGCCCCTATCCCCAGGGCGACACCTGTGCGGGCTTAGCTGGCTACTTCTCTCTTGCTGCGGGCTGCCCGTCCCTCGAATGCACTGCGGCCTTCCAAGCGCTCAACCCGGGGGTGGCATGCACAGGCAGCAGGGGCCAGCTGCAGCCCAACCAGGCAGTGTGTGTGGAGCGCAGCGCAGAGGCAGCAGCAGCGCTCGTCATTCCACTGTGCTCGCAGCACTACTTTGTAGAGAGCGGAGAGACCTGTGAATCCATCCGCAATGTGCCCAACCCGCCCCTCAGCCCGCTTGACTTTTATCGCCTCAATCCCGGCATCAAGTGCAACCGCCTCGTGCCCAAGACGGACGTTAAAAGCTTCACTGGCTTTGAGGTGGGCTTGCAAACACTAGCTCTGGCACACGAGATTTTGTTTCTCGAGATCTTGCATCTTTCCATGGCATGTTGCATTTCTTCGGGGTTTAGCTTATCCCTTTGTTTATTACATGCAGGCTTGTGTTGGGAGCACAGACAGTCTTATAGCGGGGACGTGTCCACGGAGTAAGGCAATAACGATTGGTACTGGCGACCGGTGCACCGCGATACAGATCAAATACTTCCGGGGCATCAAAGGATGTTACAAGCGGATCAACGGTTATGAGTGCCTGGATAGGTTGATAACGGGGACGAAGGTGTGTATTCCAGACAAGGTAAAAATAGCTAAAGGCAGGTGCACTGTTTGAAATGCAACAGTGCAGCCTAATTGCGTCCTTTACTCTAATACCCTATATATATCCGCACGGGATCTATTTGTTTAAAACCACAGGCTAGAGTAGAACACCTGCAGAGCTCTTGAATAAATGTTTCGTTTTGGGGCAGACCCTTTGGTGTGTTTTCTATTTCCGAAATGGTATGGGATCCGAAATTGTCTGTAATGCGAAGTAGCTTTGCTACTGTTGGGCTGAGAAAAGCCCTAGGACCTTTTCAGAGACTAAGTCCCACTTGTACAAGATGCTTGAGTAGTGCAGCGGAAGTGTTGAGTAGTTGAACCCTTGCACTAGTATGTGAGAGCAAGTGATTGATTAAAAGAAACAAGCATACAGCAATATATAGAAAATAGGAAATAAAGCAGTTGTAGAATGCAGTTGAAGGAACGGTTATCGAGTCGCACAGCGATCCGATTGTCGGTTCGGTTACCACCCTTGCAGTCGCAACCTCCGGTTGCGACCCTTCGAGTCCCTTCGTCCTTTCGTGTTCTTTCGTCCAACCTCCTCGTGTAACCTCCGTTGACTCGCGTACTCAATACGACTTTCCTCGAGTATAGTGTTACACTTCAGAAACGCTTACGTCCTCGGGGTATTTCCAACACTCCCCTTCGTTTCTGGAGTGCTGACGTGTCCGGACTCGGTGACGTTTATCTGCCCGCTCAGCAGCATGCAGTAATTGAACTTTGCATTCGCCAGTTTCTTCGTCAGGTAATCTGCAGCCATTTCTGTCGTGGGGCAGTAACTGAGTTGAAGTCTCCCCTTCGCGATCTTATATTTGACGAAGAAATACCGCAGGGCGATGTGCTTGGTTCGATTGGCGAACCCGTCTTTGTTCGCGATTTTGATTGCGGATTGATTGTCGCAGAGTAACGAGAAGGCGGGCATGGTCACAATTTTCGCTTCCTCGAGCAGCTCTCGCAGGTAGAGTCTTTCTTTGGTCGCAGTGCAGAGAGCGATATATTCCGCTTCAGCCGAGGATAGCGCGATGAATTCCTGCTTGCTCGATTGCCAGGAGATAGTCCCAATAGGCTCTGGTCGGTAGATGTAGCCCATTCTGGAGCGCCGATTCTCCCTATCGCCCGCGTGGTCGGCGTCGACATAGCCGAGTAGTTGTACGGACGATGGTGTTACTTTGCTGTAAGTAAGTCCGGTCGTCGGCGTAGAGACAAAGTAGAGCAGTGCCCGATTTAGCTCCTCGAGATGCTCTTGCTCCGGCTGCTTCAGGTGTGTTGCTAGTTGGCTAGCGCTGTAGGACAGATCCGGTCGACAGGTTACTGCTGCGAACAGTAGACAGCCGAGCTTCTGTTGATATTCCTGGATTTGCTTCGTGGGGAGTTTTGCGGAGGTGTCGCTGTTGTCGTTCCCGTAGCGATAGGAAGTCGCGACTGTGACCGGCGTTAGTCCGAATTTCTTCGCGACAATGCCTGCGTACTTTCCGGCGTGTAGGTAGAACGCCGAATCGTCTTCGACGACGTTCAGACCTAGGTACTGGGTTACGGTGTCTGACACCGTGAGTGTTAAGTCACTCCTCAGCTCCCCTTTGAACCAGGTGACGACGTCGGTAGTGGAATCGACGTAGAGCACGTCATCGACGTAGACGATGAGTAGGACGAAATCCCCCCCTTTCTGTAGTCGGTACATCCCTTGGTCGTGCGGCAGCTGCATGAAGCCGATCCTGACGAGGCGGCTGTGAAGGTGCTGCTGCCAAATCCGCGGGGCTTGTTTGATTCCGTAGAGGGATTTTATCAACTGGCACACTTTTGTAGGATCGTCGATGAATCCGTGGGGCTGCTCGACAAAGATCTTGGCATCCACAGGTGCGTACAAGAAGGCGTTGGCGACGTCAATCTGCCGCAGTGGTAGCTTTTTCGTGGCCGCGACGGCGAGCATAATGCGCAGAGAGGTATGTCGGGAGACTAAGGCAAATGTCTCCGTGTAGTCAGTTCCATATCACTGATCGAATCCTCGTACGACCCAGTGAGCCTTGAAGCGGTCGATGAAGCCATCCGCATTAGTCTTGATGCGGTACACCCACTTTCCCGAGAGCATATTCTTCCCGTTGGTCTTTGTTGCGGGTACCAGTTTCCACGTGTTTCGGTCTTGCAGGGCCTTCAGTTCTTTTTCCATTGCTTCCTTCCATTTCGCCTTGTGTTCCCCCCCCAGAGCCTGCGACAGAGTCGTTGGCTCTCGTGACGACGGCGGCGGCGGGCTCTGGACGGCGACCCATAGTCCAAGTATCTGCAGGCCCGTGGGTGTGTGTCGAGGGGAGTTTTCATTTCCGGGATAAGCTGCTTCGTCACCATCTTCGGGGTCAGGTAAGAAATTGGGTCCGATGCATTCAGAGACATTTGTGTCGACCGATTGAGGTGTAGTGTAGCCCTGGTGAGCGAAGTGGTAGTAGGTGTCGAGGTTGTTACTATCGAGAGAGTTGTCGTCGTCGAGTGGAACGGGCACGGAGCAGTAAGGGAGTGGTCCGGCAGCTTCCGAGGCTTCAAGTACGGCTTCTTCTGCTGCGTCAGCTTCGGCAGCACTATCGGCGAAGTACCGATGGCCCTTGAAGCCGTCAGTGGGGTCTGCTGTGTTGGCGACGTTGTCCAGGTAATGTTGCAGTGGCAGTGTCTCGTAGAAAATCACATCACGTGAGGCCACAGTGTTTTTGTCCTAGATGTCGAGAAGTTTCCCTGCTTGGAATGTTTTGCGATGCCGAGGTGTAGTCCCCACCGTGCTCGTTGAGAGAATCGTCCTGCTCAAGCTGTGTGGGGTCTGTACTGTACCATGCAGCCGAAGACTCGAAGTAATTTTGTGCTGCCCAGTTTTCCTGTCCACAGTAGGTGCGGTGATGCGATGTTGGGAAGTGATGACGAGGACAGCAAATTGTGGAGGTGCACTGCATGCGTCTTTGCGTCAGGCCAAAGTGTGTTGGGCAGTCTCATCCCCAGGAGCAGTTTTCGCATCGTCATCTGCAAGGTGCGGTTCATCCTCTCTGCGACCCCCTGTTGTTGGTGAGCATAGGGTAGAGACACCAGGCGTCTGATGCCTCTTTCTGCCAAGTAGCTCTTGAACCTTTATGATGGGGAGCCACGTCGTGAAGGCTTCGAACGCCTGGTCACGTGTCTTGTGGTTGTAGTGCCAGACGTATCGTGTTGCCGCGTCGATGAACGTGATGACGTAGTTGTACTCTGTTTCACTGTCGTCTCGAGGCATATTTAAAATATTGCTTTAAACTCTTCCATCGGTGCGTATGCAGGTGCTTTGGATTGTGGTGCGACAGGAAAGGTTGATGGGGAAGATCGGCTTCGGGGCATGTGAAACATCATGCGCGGGGTCGTCAAAGCTCCTGGCTGCTCATTGTGAGAAGAGCGTCCTTTTCTAATACTCCGGCTTGTATGGTTTGAAGAACTGTGCTGTTTGCAGGGTGTCTGAGGCGTTGATGCCACATGTCGTCGGGAGCGCGATGGCCGGGTGAGTGCTGATACACGTCGGCATTGGAGAAGAACGCGACGACCGTAGCACGACTGCGGCAAACTCCTTGGGTGATGGGCATGAGCTGATCTGCTTCAGTTGGCGGTCCTCGGATTGCTGGTGATGTCGCGCGGCTGGGTCCTAGTGCTGTTACTACAGGTGATGTCGAGGAAGGTGTACTTGCTGGTACTTGTCGTTCTTGTTGAATGACTGCTAATGCGCGTGTTCTCTCTGCTGCAGGGATGGTGTTGGAGTACCAGAATCCACCTGGAGTAAAGTCGGGGTCAAGATCCGGCGGGTGCGTCCAGGCGGCGAGCGACACAATGCCATCGCTGTCGGCAGTTCCGCGGTCGGGGACGAAATCCAGCACGAAGACGCCCGACTTCAAGAGAGCGCGACCGATGAAAAGGCCGCCCTTCCTGTGGTAAAGACGAAACTCGTTGGCATCCGAGTCGCATTCCAGGTGAATTCCCTTAGCCATTAACTGGCTGACGCTTAGTAAATTGTATCCCAGATTGTCGACGATGAGAACTTTGTTGAGTTGTACTATGACGTTTGTCTCCATTGACTGAAGCTGAACGACTCCTTCTCTGTTTGTTTTCAGGTTCTCATTGTTGGCGACGGTGATGATGATGTCGCGGTTGAGGCGTCGCTCTCGTTGCACGAAGCGCCCCGAGGAACACATGTGTTGTCCACAGCAACTGTCCAAGAACCAGGTGTTTCGCCCGGTGGGTTCGGCGTTGGCGACTGCAACATACGTGGGGTTGACCTGAAAACCTTGAGAGCGCAGCGGCGGCAGTTCTTCTTCGTCCGGAGCGTAAGTGGGTGGTGACCCGGGTGTGCAGTTGTCGATGCGTACCATGTAGCTAATGATATTCGGTGCGCCTTGTGCAGGTGTAGAGGAGCGGCTTGGCGGATTCTCTTGAGTGGAGGCGACTTGCGGATCTGCTGGACGATAAACTCGAGGGCGTGTGCAGTTGACCTTGGAGTGTCCGGATGTCTGACAGTTGTGGCAGAACGGCAATACAATGGTGAGACCTCTGGTGTCGTGTCGGTTCTGCTTGTCGCGTCGGTTGTAGTTGTTGTCGTTTCTTCTTTGAGTGTAGAAGACTAACGGTTGCTGCTTGTTTCGTGGTTGTCTTTCTTCAAACAGGTCCATCTCCTGTCGTTTGCTTGATAGAGATATTTCAGATGATGCGGAGTTTTCGTAGCTCCGATACGTTCTGATGCTCTGTTGCTCTTGTGGTGACAGGTTTCGCAGAAGAACTGTGTACGCCAGCAGTGACTGATAAGTGAAGATTTCCTGCTCCTTTGCAGTGCCATTGCTTGGAAATGGCAGGGACCCGTTGAAGTATCCCAAGAGGTGCGCAGCCTCCATCAGCAGCTCGAACTCAAAGCTCCAGGTAAAGAAGTCGTGCCCATTGAATGGTGAAGATGTCTGTAGTTTGATCACATGTGAAAACTGCGCCTGGAGACTTAATATCTCGTTTGGTGTCTGTTTTGATGCAGCTGCTGTCAGTTGAGCACGGGGCGGCATGAACTCGAACGTCCCTGGTGAAGAGTGATAAGGCGCAAAGGTAGGCGCCTGGTTGTGCCGCCCGAATGATGAGTTGTCGAGGCTCATCTGTGCTAACCCCATATTTCCTCCGTTGCTCTGTGTTGAATGCGCAGATGTCCTTGTCTGCTGCTGCTGTTCGAAGTGCGACATGAAGCTGAAGAACCTTTCCATAA